CAGTCTACCCTAAATATATTACCGTACAGTCTACCCTAAATATATTCGATAATTACCTATTTATTCTACAGTCGTTTGAAGCAATTCTCACCGATAGGATACATAACAAAATATATATCAGTACATAGACCAGTGGATATTTCAGAGTCGAAACCTTGTAAAAGTTTCATATAAGTTGTCATCAAACTTCTGAATTCAATAAAAAAGTGAACATTACCCACAAACGCATCATTGTAAAAACTTTGATTGAATAGGCCATTTGCAGTTGGGGTCACGTGACCACACCTACCTGAAATCAATCAGCCATCAAAAAGTGATGTTCAGAAATGGATGAAAGAGCAGGTTTATTTTGTTAAAATGGCAAAGTCTCAAGTCTCAACTCTAAATACTACAAAATGGCAGCAAATGTAAAATATCATTTTTTTCTAAAGAAATGTATGGGAAAATAGAACTGGAGAGCAACAACCCTTGCTCTCCAGTTCTGTTTTTGCATATGTTTCTTTAGAAAAAATGTGATTTTATATTTGGTATTAATTTAAAAAAATTTAGTGTTGAGACTTGAAACTATGGCTGCTTACTTATTTTGATCCCCTCTTTCCATTTCTGATTTTTTCTTTTGTCATTGCTAATTAATTTAAGGTAGGTGTGGTCACGTGACCCCTAGCTGCATACTATTGCAATTTAGTAAGATATTACTCATAATGCCCCGATATCATAATGTATTTTAACGGTCAAATTTTTAAACTAACTGTATTTTAACGGGAAAAAAAACTAGTGTAAATTTATTAAATTTAAATTTAAATTACAATTAAAATAACATTAAAATTTAAATTAAATTAAATTACTTTTAATTAATTAATTAATTTTAATTTCAAGTTTAATTATATAGCCACATATTAATCCCAAATAGGTAAAAGCTGGATTTTTCGTTAATTTTGGAATCCTGTCCAATTAAGAAATTAATTGGACAGGTTTTCAATTGGGTTTTTGTTAAAAAGCTAGCTGTGGTTGGCTTTTACCTATTTGGGATCAATATGTGGCTATATAATTAATAGGTAATAAGACTCCATGCTGTCCAATTAAGAAATAATTAGACTCGAAAAATTCCTCTGACTGCCAAATTGGACTCGGCCACGGCCTCGTCCAATTTTTGGCAGTCCTCGGAATTTTCCTCGTCCAATTATTTCTTAATTGGACAGCATGGAGTCCTATTACATATAAAAATTTACACATAATTGCAAAAATTGTCATAAAGAATTAGAACAATTGAACTTCAGCAAAAGGTATTCAAATCAAAAAATAAAATCAGAAAAAACAATCAGTCACGCCGAACGCTTTACTTTTTCGTTTTCTATGACAGAGTTTTTGCAATTAGAAGAATATATGCTAATATAAATTGCTTACAGTTCATGCAATGTCCAGCGTCTCTAATCAATTTCCTGGATGATGCGTCGAAGCATGTGTTTGTTACCACTCGAATTCATCCAGCCTTGATTGTAAACTTCCGTCCAAACTACGACAAAGAACTCTGGGAATGTTTTGAAGAAATGGTCATTCAGTAGTTCGTCTTTTCGGTCAGGCGATCTCTCTTCATAATGGGCGTAGGCATTGCGAAAAAATCGAATGAGACCAAGGACTGAATTTGTGTCGATATTTCCGCGTCCTCTTGAGGCTACCTCTTGAAAGAGAGCTGAAATATTCACGTTCCAACTATCTCTCATAACTGCTTGACCAAACTTAGTGCTTTGTAGATTCTTTCCTAAAGTAGAATTTGGGCAGCTTAATGGTTTAGCAACCTCTTTCTGGTCGCCGATTCTCCACATAAAGTTCACCTTCTTCATATTTGTCCAAAAATAGCAATGATGCTTTTTTAGGTCTACAGATGATGGTCGTTTCTTCGGATCCTCACTTAAAAGACATAGAACCAAATGATTTTGTTCTGGAGTTAAATCCTTTCTGATGTGTCCATTGCCTTTACTGATGTTGGTTTCCAACTCATACGCCTTCAACGACCCGGTTGAAATCGAGTCCAACAATTTCATTGTGCTTGAATGAAATGGATGAAATCCTTTAGAAAACAAGAAGTGGAGCAGCAGACCCAAAGCATACATGTCTGATTCTTTGCTGTGAGTATTCTGTGTTCTTTTCACGAGCTCAGGTGCCATCCAACCACGCGTTCCGCACAAGGAAGTTGACGCAGTGGTGAACACTGACGTTTGATTAACAGAAAATGCGGCATCCAAGTGCTTTGTAAGACCAAAATCAGCAAGTTTTAAACAAAACTCTGGTTTTTCTCGGTAAAGAACATTTCCTGGCTTGATATCTCTATGCACCATGTTATGTTTGTGAAGAAATGATAGACCACAGACAATGTCTCCTGCAAGCTTTCGATTGTTGTCTGGATTGGCTAAAAACATCTCTTTTTCTTTGACGAGGGATGCCAAATC